TAATTTTTGAGCTTCTTGTTCCTAAAATACTTTTAAAAGAAGTCATATTGAACCAATTTTGTATAAAATTTCTTCTAATTAGAAGAAACAATTTCATAAAATTATCGAAACGGATCCAATATAACTTTTAGATCTCAGAAACTCTTTTAATCTTCTCGAAAATCATGTCAACCGAACCCTTAATTTCAAAATTAATTTTTGACTCTTAAAAACTCCGTCAAACTGTCCCTTAGGTTATTCTTAAATAAAATATTTTAGTTTTAATCTATGTTCTAACAAACACTATTCTTGCATTTTCCATGCGTGTCGTTCATCCATTATTCTCAATCTCCACGGTGTCTATCAACTCCCAATAATTGGGTGATTTATAATTACACATCTAATCAACATTATTTAAGAGAAAAAAGGTAACATCGAAGACAAAATTTAAGTAAATAAACTTGTTTACACGACATTGAAGATTGTGACTTAACTAGTGAAAATGCGTATCTTTCTTTTTCCGAACTCTAAGATCTCTACAGAGTAAGTCCTTGTTTGAGCTCCATTATTTTTTAAAAAAAAAAAAATTGATTTTGGAACAGTATTTTTTGAATAATATATGGTTAAAAAATCAAGAGAATTTTAAATTTATGTGTAATATTATTTTATTGAAAGAATGAGCGGTTGATAAGAGGGGAGAAAAATAAATTAAAATTTGACGGCCCCAAACATGACTTAATGTCTCAATCAATAAATATTGGAGAATAGGATGTATGAAACATTTATGGGCCAGCATTAATTGAATAATGCGACACTTCGAAACCCCTTTAAAAATGACGTATCATTCATGGAGTGATACTGATATTTTTTCATTTTCTCTACACTTTTAATTGTTTATGATTAGTAGAAATTGAATTCCATAGCCAAAATTTATAGCATTGCGTGTCCACGAGACGTAGAAATTGAATTCCATGGCCAAATTCATAGCATTGCGTGTCCACGAGACGTAGAAATTGAATTCCATAGCCAAAATTTATAGCACTAGTGTGTCACCCGTGCGATGC